GGAGGCAGAGGTTGCGGTGAGCCGAGATCGCGCCATTGCACTCCAGCCTGGGTAACAAGAGCGAAACTCCATCTCAAAAAAAAGAAAAAAAAAAAAAATTGGGGTCCAGGCGTGGTGGCTCACACCTGTAATCCAAGCACTTTGGAGGCCAAGGTGGGCAGATCACCTGAGGTAGGGAGTTCAAGACCAGCCTGACCAACATGGCGAAACCCCGTCTTAAAAAAAAAAAAAAAAAAAAAATTTGGCCAGGCACAGTGGCTCAGGCCTGTAATCCCAGCACTTTGGGAGGCCGAGGTGGGCAGATCACGAGGTCAGGAGATCGAGATCATCCTGGCCAACATGATGACACCCCATCTCTACTAAAAATACGAAAATTAGCGCCTGTGGTCTCAGCTACTCTGGAGGCTGAGGTGGAAGAATCGAACCCAGGAGGTGGAGGTTGCAGTGAGCTGAGATTGCGCCACTGCATTCCAGTCTGGTGACAGAGCAAGACTCAGTCTTTAAAAAAAAAAAAATTAGTGGTTTATCTTGCACTTGGGTAGATCTTTTACCATGCACGATTTTGTAATGTGCATTGGTTATTTGGAAAATGTTGATTGACTTGAGTTAGTGCCAGGCTTTGAATATGGATATATTTGATTAGGTAATGAAAACCCACATTAATAATGTCACAATTTAATCATAACCACCCTTAAATATTGGGAAGCTGTCAAGCTTATGGTGGCACATAAGATTTTCTGAAATTCTGACTTTTGTTTAATGCAATACTATCCATTGCTCCCTTGAAGTGACAGGCTCACTCCATTCTTTTTTTTGAGACTGAATCTTGCCCTTGTCACCCAGGCTGGAGTGCAGTGACGCAATCTTGTCTCACTGTAACCTCCACCTTCCAGGTTCAAGTAATTCTCCTGCCTTAGCCTCCCAAGTAGCTGGGATTACAGGCGTGAGCCATCATACCCAGCTAATTTTTGTATTTTTAGTAGGGACAGGGTTTTGCCTTGTTGGCCTGACTGGTCTCGAACTCCTGACATCTGGTGATCCACTTGCCTCTGCCTCCCAAAGTGCTGGGATTACAGGTGTGAGCCACCTCGCCTGGCTGTTAGTCATGATTTTGTTTTTAGGCTTAAGGCATCGTTGTTGTATTAATGTAAACAGTGGTTGGGAGGATAAGGAACAATTTTTTTTTGGAGATAGTATCTTGCTTTGTTATCCAGGCTGGAGTATAGTGGCACAATCTTGGCTCACTGTAACCTTGATCTCCTGGGCTCAAACATCCCTTCCACCTCAGCCTCCCAAGTAGCTGGGACCACAGATGTTAGCCACCACGACAGGCTAATTATTTTTCGAAGAGACGCTATGTTGCCCAGCTGGCAGAGCAGTAATTTGAAATGCAGACTGAAAAGACAATCTCTTTTCAGTGTCTGTTGCCTCTGAGGTAGTCATGTCAACAATGAGTGAGTATAGCAGTAGCAAGGTAGTTAGGCAGCAATGAGGAGCATCTGAATGAGATCTGTGTTTCTTCAGGCAGGAGGATTGCTTGAGCCTGGACGGCTGAGGCTGCAGTGAGCTGTGTTCAGGCCACTGCATTCCAGCCTGGGTGTGAGATGCCATCCCCAACAATAAAATTAAAAAGATACAGTATGGAAGAAAAAAAAATTCTACTTTAGAAAAAAAGAAAGAAGAAGGAAAAAAAAGATACAGTATGTTTTTATCACTCCAGAAAGCTCTCCTGTGTTCCTTTGCAGTTAGGCTCCTGTACCCCTAACCTCCATTGATCTGGTTTTCTTTAGTAAAGATTAGTGTTACTGGTTTTCAAACTTCCTGGGAATGCAATCTGCAATATATAGTATATACCTTTTTTTTTTTTTTTTT